TCAGGAGGTCCCCAGGAAGCAGAGGCCTCCAGATCCATGCTGCTGGTGGCAATGGAGACCCCATCTGGCCTCAGACCTTTGATTCTCTACAGGGATGCTCCTAGAAGCTATCAGGGAGGCTTTGAAGGAGGGACTGGGTGAGGAGTACTCTGAGGAAACAGGACAGCTCCCTCAAAAGCCCTGGGGAATGAGACAGGTCAGCAGTAGCGGGTAAAGCTGGAGACCGAGGAGGACACAAAGTATAGAGGGACTCCAATATTCCTTCCCTACCCCCAGGCTGCACTCCAAGGGACCTCTACACAGACATGTGGACATGCCCACAGGGGCCAGCTCCTCTAGATCCAGCAAGGAGACCAGCTCTCTCTTGGGAGACCCTGCAGAGGGTGGGTGGTTGTGGGGCAGAAGTTTTGGGGGTGGTTGGCCTTATCAGTACAAACCTAGGTGACCATATGTGAGGCCCCTCCATGAATAGACTTCCCAGCCCTGACCTCCTCCAGCTACATTTTAGGGAAATCAATTTTTTCTTATAGCCTAGACCTGGACCCTTCTCTGGTGGGCCAGCCTGACATCAAATGAGGGCTGGAGAGACCTTCAGTGATAGGCTGCCTTCATGCCCCTGGAAAGATAGGTAGACAGCATTTCTGACTGTCCTTTGGGGCTCTCCCTGAAATCTTGTGTCTATGTACTGTCTACCTCTGGCTGATGTTATTAACAAGACCACCATCTCTCCTAACTTTAGCATTTGAGTATGCTAGGGTAAGTCATCAGCCAGGGTGCTGGTATGAAGGCTCAGATGTAGGCCTGTAATATTCTAGTGCTTTCTGGTTTGACCAGGTCTTGAGGGGTGGGCTCCCAGGAAGTAAGGCCTTAGCTATTACCTTGGCTAGCTCACCCCAGGTTCTGGCTTGTGAGAAGAGGCTAGGCCAGATTTCTAGGTCCACCTATCCATGGAGAATGTCCGGAATGCTCATGACCTCAGTAGGTGAGCCCTGGTGTTTGCTTAATGGGATTCCTGGCTAGCTCAGCCAAGGGCGCCAGGCACGTGGGGCCAGGAATCCACACACCAGGGCAAAACAAACTGCTAGGGACCCAGGCCTGAAGGCACACAGACTCTGAACAGGCTTCGACATGCAACCCTGCCCTTGGGGAAATCTAGGCCAGGACCTTAGGCCTAGGTAGGAGGGATGACACCGGGGCCACCTCTAGCCTGCAAAAGGCTCACTCCCAGCAGGAATCCACAGGATTCATTGCCGGTGAAGATGGACACCCAGGCTCAGGAGGTGATTTACTGCAGCCATTTTCCGGGTTGAAGGGAGGCCCAGCATGCTAGTGTTTGGTAGGTTCAGCAGTGGAAGGGGAGGAGGCCCTGGCAGGACCAGGAGGGCGGAAGAACTGGCTCCAAGTTCAAATTCCAGCTCTACATGGTGAGTGACCTTGGGGAGGGGTCAGCTTAATCACCTGGGTTCTTAGCTGTCCTCGTGGGAGCTGGGTGTGGCCCTGGGATGGGATGGGGGAGTCCCTTGGGTCCTGGCTGGGTCCTACTCTGGGAACAAAGTCCAGGGATCATGAGGTGGGAGCCGTAGAGGCTGAGATGTACTGGAAAGCTATTGGTGAGAGGGGATGGGTTCACCTGAAGAGACCCAGGCAGGCTGGGTGGGAGTGATGGGCCAACCAGTCCTGGATGACAGACAGGTCTAGCAGAGGTCTATGCACAGATAGGACCACATAGAGTCTAGGGTGGGAGGGGCCCCAGCAGTGTCCTGCCTCCCTCAACAGCCAAGGAAGGCTGCACAGGAGAGACAGTAGAGAGATGGGTCTGTGGACATGCCTTTCCCTTCACTGTCTGGGGACACCTTCATGTAAGTAGCACAGACTTATCAGTCCCAGGGACCATGGTCAACCAAGCTGTGGGTGTCAGTAGGCCTTTCCATTAGCTGATCTCCCAGCTTCTCCCAGCTCCACCGAGCCTCCACACCCCAACTTTGACCTGGAGACTGACCCAGCCTGATGTTTCTCTGGCTCTGGGCTTCTTTTGGGCTCAGACGGGTAGGAAAGGCCAACTTTCAGGTACTGGGTGGTATGCCCACGTCAGAGTCAGCCCCTGAAGGAGGTCCAGTCTGCTGGATGGAATGGCGGCCCTCCCTTCCTTACCACCTCTCTTGTCAACTGCCAGGTTCCCCTCATCCGCCCCAGGGCTGGGAGGGGGCCGGGACCGGGGCGAGTGAGTCACACACACCACTGGCTTAAAAATATCACTGAACACTGGCCGCCGCCCGCAGGACCGACGGGGCCTCAACTGAGCGGTTCTTGGGCTGAAAGTCCAAGGGAGGCTCAGGCCCAGCCTCTCTCCCAAGCTCCTATGCCCCACGCGCCACCCGCAGCCCTTAAACCTCGGTTTAGCTCTCCCCAGAGTACCCATGATCCAGATCATCCCAAATCTCACAATCGGGTGTCCTCAGCTCCGGTGCTGGTTGCCCTCCAAACTCAGCGTCCCACCCAGAGTCTCGGAGCAGAGATCCACATCCCATGACCACTCTGGGAAACTGAGTCCCCGATTGGCAAACTCCCTGGCTGAAGCGCTCACCTGTTCTCCGGCAGCCAGCGCCTGCTCTTGGCTAGTCCCCTAGGTCAGTCTGTCCGCCCGGCCGTCTGTCAGAGGCTCAGCGGCTGTGGAGCTCCCTCTCCCCGGACAGGCGGGACCTCTGCAGGGCCGGATAGGCCGGGGCGGGGCTGTGAGAGGAGGAACCTGAGCGACAGGTTACCGAGTCACCCGGGAGTGGGCACCAGGGAGGCTGAAGGAAGGGGGCGGGCCTGGGGCACCACTCCCCCACCTCCCACCCCCGCACAGCACAGCTCCTCCTCCCTCGCCTCTGTCTGTCCTCCCAGCGGTCCCCAAAGCACCTGGGGCCCCTTCGCAGCTGGTCCTGAAGTGCAGGGTGCGGCCCCAGCTGCTCTTACTAAGCTGCAGTAGCAGGTGGAGACCTGGACCGGCCTGCAGGAGCAGTACTGGGAGAAGCCTATGAGGGTTGCAGTCATGCGGAGCTCTCAGCAAAGCACCTATCAGGTGCCCTCCGCCCCCAAGTTGCACTGGGACAGAGCTCTTTAGTTGGCCAGTCTGGGGGCGGGGATATTGGGTTCAAAGATATTCGGTGGGGGCCTCTCCATCCTTCACATATAGAAGCTCCTAAAGTCCCTAGCTAGCTTGAGCATCCCGAGGGATGAACTATTTATGGAGAGGGTACCTGTTCCCACCATGTTGACCCTCAGAATACTCTGCCCACTCTGTTGACAGCTTGGGCCGGGGTTGGGTGAATTTAGAGCCAACTAACTGGCTAGGAGGAAATAAATGAAGTTACAGCCCGCTAGCCAAGGGTACTGCCCTTATGTGAACAGGGACCCTAAGGTCCCGGCTATTGTTCCTGGGGTTGGGGAAGAGGAAATGGGTGCTGCCAGGAAGTCAGGGTCCCAGACAACAGTTCAGAAGGCAGGGCCCTGGCATGGTTGTCCCAGGCAGGCAGGCAGCACTTCCTAGGGCACTGAGAGCTCTGTCCCACAGGACCAGCTGCATTGTCTGACACACCTGACACACTCTGGGACACCACAGGTAAGCTGGACAGAGGGTGACAGAAGAGGACTTGGTCCTCCAGACCCAGCTCCTGATGAATCCCAGAGAGGCTTCCTGGTTCCCGGCCCTTATGCTGATCTCACAGAACTGGCCCAGTCTTGCTCTGCCTGTGACCTTGCCCTGGCACAGCAAGCGGAGGTCAAGTGCTCAGCTGTGTAATGGGAGGGGCAGGTGCCTGTGTCCACCCTGACATTCCTGGGCAGAGCTGGGAATGGTAGTGTGAAGAGTGCAATGCAGCTCAGATGGGGCTCCCAGTGCTCACTGACTCCGCGGTAAGGCGGCCCAAGCCATTCTGCATACCCAGGTTATACTTGCTCAGGCCACAGGGCCAGTGGGGAGGGAAGTGCCCCTAGGGTTTCTAGATCACTGGTCCTTCCCAAGCCTGCCTGTGGCTCGGGATGGCTCAGCAACCTACCACTCTCAACACACTTCACAGGGAGGCTTCTGGATAGTTACTGGGGGAGAGAAGACAGGTAGAGGAGAGGCCACAGGGCAAGTCCAGAATAGGGCTGAGAAACGGCATCAAGATGGGCTCTTCTATACTGGACCCTGGGGAGGGTACTCAGTTATAATTAAGACAAAATCATGACAGCATAACTAATTTATTTTTTAAAAGAGTAACTAGATATTTGAACATAGTATCACAAACAAAAAACACATAAAAGAAACAAATGAAAGAACCTGTAAAAAAAAAACCTGCTTAAATACTTTTTAGGAAAAAACGGGCTAGGAATAGAAAAGCAAGAGATGAGATGGAACTCACTTGGTACTATGACTGTGACAGACTCCTAGAAAGTTTTTCTTCCATTCTGTCTGTCCCCTACAGGCCCTCCCCCACCAATGGTTGAGGTGAACATCACAATATGCAGTTCTCTGGCCTGTTTATTTTTAAAAATAATTTATTTTTATTTTATGTGCATTGGTGTTTTGCCTGCATGTATGTCTGTGTAAGGATGTTGGATCCACTGGAACTGGAGTTATAGACAGGTGTGAGCTGCCAAGTAGGTGCTGGGAATTGAACCTGGGTCCTCTGGAAAAATCAGACAGTCCTCTTAACTGCTGAGCCATCTTTCCAGCAACCCCCCCCAGCACTTCTTTCTTTCTTTTTAATAAAACGTGTAGCCCAGGCTGGTCTTGAACTCATGATCCTCCTGCTTCTGCCTCTTTCAGCAAATCCTACCAGTGTGTGCCACCACAACCAGCCTACTTTTTTTTTTTTTAAAGACAAGATCTCACTATGTAACCCTGGCTGACCTGCAGTTTACTCTGTAGGCCAGGCTGGCTTTGAACTTACAAAGATATGCTTGTCTTTGCCTCCTGGGTGCTAGAATTAAAGGTGTTTGTGTGCCGCCATACCTGGCATACTTTGCTTTTGTTTCCTTTTAAAAACCAAACAGTTTTATTCAGGGCTGGCCTTATGGGGAGCCAACTTGGGGGGGGCACTGGAACACAAGGCCTGCCACCCTGAAGCTCCAGAGGGATTCCAGGCCTGGACCAAGGCCTGGGAACAGAGTACAGCAGGTTCTCAGAACAAGAACCAGGGCCAGTGTGGGAAGCACGGAAGTCAGTAATTCCTGTGTGCAAAAACACATGGTGACACACCATCACAGCCAAGTCCTCCCGCCAGGATGCTGCATTTCTGGGGCTGAGACAGGGTGGAGCTGCTGGGCTGCCCCCAGCTGTTGACTTCCTCAAAGGCTTTGCCTTCCACTGGCCTGGCGATCACTGGTGGTCCTGCTGCTACAGCCAGGACTCCAGCCACATGACATGAGTAGACATCTCTGGGACTGACTACTGTCCATGATGGCTATCTTCAACATCTAGTCTCCTAACAGTTTTTCCCTGGTTCCTGTATCCACCTCACTAAAAAAGATTTATAAGCCATCTAAATCCATCTATAGACAGTCAATAAAAAAAAAAAAGAGAGATACCCTTTGCACCTGGGAGCAAAGGAGTTGATTGGAGGCTGAGGAGCACTGCTGTGTAGGTTATCCTGGTCTGTCTACCTGATGAAGTCAGCAATGACCACCACCTGCAAGCCAGCCTCCAGCCCATGCAACACCAGGAGAATGGTGCTGAGGACCGAGTCCATCCACAGTACCAAGGTCTGCCAGAGCAGGAAGTGGACAGAAAGGAGACCACTGACTGCCGTGAATGCCAGGCTGGCAGCCAGTGGCACTTCAGCCTCTGTCAGGTTGCCTCTTGTGCCTGGGAAAGAAAGCAAACATAACAGTGAGGCGGGGCTGTGGACACCCACCAGCTGCCCAGCTCCAGGTACTATGGTTGCTAAGGGTTGATGAATTCATGGCTTTTGGAAAAACGGCCTACTGGGGCCACTCCATGTCAGAGAGTACAGTCTCAGTCTGTACTCTTGAGACACAGTGTGGTTTTAAAACGGTCAGCATTTGCCACATTTTTTCTAAATCCAAGTGGGATCAAAAGGATTTTGTTTAAAATATCTAAAAATATTTTACTCTGGGTTAAGGCAGGCTGGTTCTGGAAAATTTCATGAATACTTATGAAAAACATTACAAACAAATGGGTCAGTCATGGAAAATGCCAATTTGGAGTGGCCAATTGCTGGCCAGCTGCCAGAGGTGCCTGAGGGTCTGCTGACCCCAGCTGCTGGGGGACTCTGAAGGTCCGCTGGCCTAGCCCTGGGCATCTGCTTATGCAACTCTAGTGGATGGGGTTGCTTAAGGACCTGCTGAGTGCCAAGTGCTTGGAGAGGGACAGTAAGGGGTTGGGCTGACTCTTCTTCGATACAGCAACCGTCTCTGCACCCCATAGGCAGTACTGCCTACTGAGAAAGCTGTGTAAGCTCCAGCACAGCTCACAGCAGCAGATACAGGGGCTCTGTCTAACACCATACTTGTTACTCCCAGCAGAGGGAGAGAGGAGGTACCAGATCTGATCAGAAGAGAGGGATCAGCCGGGCGGTGGTGGCGCATGTCTTTAATCCCAGCACTCAGGAGGCAGAGGCAGGCAGATCTCTTGTGAGTTCAAGGCCAGCTTGGTCTACAGAGTGAGTTCCAGGACAGCCTCCAAAACAATACAGAGAAACCCCGTCTCAAAAAACAAAACAAAACAAAAAAAGGAAGAAGAGAGGGATCAGAGCCTGACAGTACAAAGTACCTGGACATGACGATGCAAGCCTACACTGAGGAGATAGAGACAGATGGAGTTCAAGACCAGCATTAGTTATATAAGGTGGTCTAAATAAATAAATGAATAATAAAAAGAGGCAACTGACAAAGAGTGGCCTCAAGGTGGGAACCGATGTGACAATGGGTGGGCTTGGGGAAGCAGGGTCCCCTGTCCTTGCAGGGATCTGGCAAACAAACACTCCAGACCCCTGCTCTACCAGACTTTCTCCCTGACTGCTGAAACCAACAGGGATGAGGGGAGCTCAGGGAAGAATTCTGGAGCCTTAGGCTGGACTTCTGATCTGAGCACAGCTGTAGTATACATCTCTGTCCAGACAGGAGGTTGTCACCTGTGTCAATTATTCTTGGAGCAAAGCTTCTGAACAAATGCTTATTCATCTTTTTACACTTGTTTCTCTCAGTTCCCTCTCCCTCCCCTTTAATTCTTAATGATTCCCTAAGGTGATACTGCCAAGTACCTAGTGAAGTTGCTTGAATGGAGATGTCTCCAAGACCCACACTATCAGTAAAATGATTAACTTTTTTTTTCGAGACAGGGTTTCTCTGTATTGTTTTGGAGGCTGTCCTGGAACTCGCTCGGTAGACCAGGCTGGCCTCGAACTCACAGAGATCCGCCTGCCTCTGCCTCCCCTGGGATTAAAGGCATACACCACCAATGCCCAGCCAAAATGATTAACATTTAAAGGTTCAGAAAGTTTGAAGAACACCTCTGAGGCCACAAATACTTTATGCTTTCATAGCCAACTCACCTAGGTATAGCCGAGCTACTTCAAGAATTCCCATCAGAAGCAAAAGAACCAGATCCAGGACCAGGCAGTTACAAGGATAGCTGAAAACCTGACCTAGGGAACACACACACAGCCAGAACTCAGATCAGCATATTAGGGGCACAATTCCTTTGATGGGCCTGGCACTTATAACTTACTTTTATATGCAATCATCAGGAATGTAGCTAGGAAGTACAGAGCATAGTACAGCCCACTGAGGTGAAACAGCATCTGAAGAGGAACTGACGAGAGCTGGTAAGAAATCAAGGATCCTCAAACTCATCAATGGGGTACACCTACATAGGGGACAAGCAGAGGGGCCTATTCTGCCCCCCATAGCCACAAACCAGCAGGTCTGGGTAAATTCCAACAGAGTACCTACAGATGACCATGGAACCCAGTCACTGACACCTGCCTACCTGGGGCTTCTACTGCTTCAAGGGCTCCTGGAGTCACTGGAGGGCACCTAAGGGTCATAAGAATGATGCTGGATCCCTCCCACCCTGGTAAGGCATGGCCTAAGTACCCCAGTCCTCAGCAGATAATGGAGGGACAGAGGGAGTTCTTCATCTTGATTTAAGTTTCTTTAGACAAAATGTATTACTTGGCCATTCAAAGTAAGGGTTTTTCGCCTCCTGCCATGTTGGTTTGGTTGGTGGCAGGCAAGTGGCCATCCCCATAATGTACTAGCGCTGTGAAGGGAACAGGGCTGAGCTGGTGGATGACAGAGCCAGCACACCAGGGAACACCTCTCCCTCTTACAAGTCACTAGTCAGAATTTAAGAAAAAATGGGGGGGGGGCGGCATGAAAGGCTCAAAAAGGCAGAGAGCGGAGTGTGCCAGGCCAGCTAATCAGCATGGTAGTGCCTGCCCTAAAGGGCTATGCTTGGTGAAGGCCTTGGCAAGCAGCAGCAGGATACCACCTTGAAGGAGCCTCTCCCTGGAAGACAAAGGATTGCCAGTAAGACATCAACAGCAGCGTGGCAGTCATTTACTTCCTGATTTCATGTTTATAAACAGAAATGAACAATGGCCACAGCTAGGTTCTTGTATCACGTCTACATCCATACCTCCTAGGACACTGCTTTCTGATGGAATTTTATTCACTTCCCCCAAATAACATTGTGTGTGGGGAGTACTTTTTAAACCACCTGTGCAGTTATGCAGACTCTTAGAACATCTCAGGCTCCATGCAGGTGCTATTCTCCCTCATCTTGTGAGAGCCAGCTCTAGGGTGTAACAGAGCTGTGTCTCTGCATCTGAAGTTTTGTACTTGAAAATCTGCCTGGCCCATCCCTGGATGGAATGTGACCTGGGTCAGGCTGTCTGGAGGCTCACACCAGCTGCACACTCATGCTGTGCATGTCTCTACATGTATACGCACACCATAGAGACCCCAAATTTGGCCAAAACCTCCTACAAAAGAGGCTGCCTTCTGAGCAGAGACAGAGCAGCACCTGAAGCCAAGCCGCTCACGTCTTCTGCTCTGTCCCGTGTCCCCTGGCATTGCAGCAGAAAAGGAAGGGGCACTTGACTTTGAAGGCCAGCTTGAAGCTGCCTACTCTAGAGATGTGCACTCTTGCATGGACAAGTCATAAACTGGTAAACACAGGACATTAGTAACAGCCTTTGGACGGCCTCCTAGCAGGTACACGTGTGGGAGCAGGAAGTCAAGTGAGTGTGACTGGGGAGGCATCGTGTTTCCACAGGGTGCTCTAGTAAACCCGATCTGTTCTTTTCCAGGCCCCAGCTAAACTAGGCTACCCAGATACCTGCCATTATTTGGGTTGGTTTTACATTAATTGGGGTTTTCTTTCCTTTGAATCCTTTTTTAATATTTCAACTTTGCCCCTTTAATTTTACGTGTATTTTGCCTGTATGTATGGCCTGTGGAGTTCATGCATAAAGTGCCAGCACAGGCCAAAGAAAAAGGTGCCAGATCCCCTGGGACTGGAGTTACAGATGTGGGTGTTGGGAATCAAACGTGAGTCCTCTGGAAGAGCAGTCTGTGCTCTTAACAGTTGAGCCCTCTCTCCAGCCTCCCTTTGGATCCTCTTATAACACCTAGTGTCAGGGTTGGGATGTATGTAAAAGACACTTGTGTAACATATAAAAGTACTGGTCCAATCCCCAATACTGCCACACACACCTCTCAAAAGATGGCAAAAACAATTAAATTGTATCTGCTGGATGTTTACTGTTTTTTCATTGTTGTTTTTTTTCAAGGCAGGGTTTCTCTGAGCAGCTTTGGGCCCTGTAGTGGAACTCACTCTGTAGAACAGGCTGACCTCGAATTCAGAGATCTAAATGCCTCTGCCTCCCTAGTGCTGGAATGAAAGGTTTGCACCACCACTGCCGAGCAGATATCTAGTGTTAAAGATCAAAATTGTGGGACTTGGGAAAAATACTGTACAGGGAGGGGGCTGGAGAGATGGTTCAGCTGGTAAAAGGACATACTGCTCTTGTGGAGGACCCAAGTTTGGTTCCCAGTACCCACATCAAGCAGCCATAAATGTCCTTAACTTCAGTTCCAGGAAATCTCATGCCTTCTTCTGGCTTCTATGGGCACCTTGCACTCAAGTGCTCCCTTCCACACACACATAATGAAAAACATTATAAAATATTGTATAAAACCCCCAAATGGCCGGGCGTTGGTGGCGCATGCCTTTAATCCCAGCACTTGGGAGGCAGAGGCAGGCGGATCTCTGTGAGTTCGAGGCCAGCCTGGTCTACAAGAGCTAGTTCCTGGACAGCCTCCAAAGCCACAGAGAAACCCTGTCTCAAAAACCAAAAAAAAAAAAAAAAAACAAAAACAAAAACAAAAACAAAAAAACCCCAAATGACATATTTATTTATTTATTTATTTATTTATTTATTTATTTTCCCAAATAGGGTCTCACTATGTAGCACTGTGTGACCTGGAACTCAACTCTGTAGACCAGGCTGGCCTCAAATTTAAGAGATCTGCTTGCCTCTGCCTCCCGAGTGCTGGAATTAAAGGTATATTCCACTATGTCCAGCTTAAACGGCATTTTAAAATAACTGACTTAGCTAGGCGGTGGCGATGCATGCCTTTGATTCCAGCACTTGGGAGGCAGAGGCAGGTGCATCTCTGTGAGTTCGAGACCAGCCTGGTCTACAGAGTGAGTTCCAGGACAGCCTCCAAAGCCACAGAGAAACCCTGTCTCGAAAAACCAAAAAATAAAATAAAATAATAAAATAACTGATTTAATTAATTAAAATAATTCTACTACTCTGAAACCTACAGGAGTTCATTTGGCTGAACTGCTGTCTGACTTCTGGGACTTAATACTTTTTTTAAAGATTTTATTTATTTATTATGAATACAACATCCTGCCTCTATGTATGTCTGCAAGCCAGGAGAGGGCACCAGATCTCATTACAGATGGTTGCGAGCCACCATGTGGGTGCTGGGAATTGAACTCAGGACCTCTGGAAGAGCAGTCAGTGCTCTTAACCTCTGAGCCATCTCTCCAGCCCTTAATACTTTTTTTTTTTTAAGATTTATTTATTGTGCATACACTGTTCTGCTTGGATGCCAGAAGAGGGTACCAGATCTCATTACAGATGGTTGTGAGCCACCATGTGGGTGCTGGGAATTGAACTCAGGACCTCTGGAAGATTAGACAGTGCTCTTAATCTCTGAGCCATCGCTCCAGCCCTTAATACTTTTCTTATTAATGATTTTTGGTAATCACTGTGTGGCTACCAACAGATACAAGGCAGAAGATTACTGTGGAAGTAAAAGAATAAATGCTTTCTTGGTGTGACAAAGGCTACAGAACCCTCTTTTGGTGGGAACTCTGTGTTTTCTTTTTTTGGGGGGTGGAATAAGGTCTCCTATGTAACCCAGGCTGCCTTGAATTTGTACTCCTGCCTCAGTCTCCTAAGTGTTGAGACTATATTCTTTTTGTTTTTTTGTTTTGTTTTGTTTTTAATTTGACACAGGGTCTCATTATGTAGCTCTGACCTGTCTGCCCTAGAACTCACAGCCATCCTCCTGATTCAACCTCTCAGATTAGTGGAATGGGCCAACAGCCCAGCCTGGAAACTGGGCCTTTTATGTGACTTAATTCCAAGATTGCTTTCTCACCCAAAAATTTCTTTTTACTATAAACATGCACACAATAATAGCACTCCCAAGTTTGTGGTAGATATTAAAGCAGCATGGTAGTAAGTGCCAGGTAGCTTAGGTTGCACATGTAGTAAGTCACATTTCTGAAATTTGTTCCAATAAGCAACACTTGGGAGAAGGGATGGATGGATGGACACACATAGGTTTGAGAGGCCTATGACTAGCTTCTGACCCACACTGCTGGCACCTGGCCCTGTCCTATCACACATCATCTGTGTCCAGCCCTCCTCATTTGGTCTGGGACAATACCATGGTGAAATGTGGGCTACAAGAAGCTTCTGGTTGCCCAGGATTCAAGTAAGCCACAAGGGCATGAGAGAGAGAGAGAGAGAGAGAGAGAGAGAGAGAGAGAGAGAGAGAGAGAGAGAGAGAGAGAGAGAGAGAGAGAGAGAGAGAGAGTATACAGGTGTGCATTCACTCAGCGTAAGGTAACATTATGTACCAGGTATGCCAGAAGTGTACCTCAGGTATGCCATGCATGGCTGGAGAGAACTATAGGTGTGTTTGGGGTGAGCGGAATGCATGCTATAAATATCTTGAGTGTGTCCCAGAGCAAGAGGCATGCCATGAATAAATCTGCGGTGAGCTGCAGGTGTGCCGTGGTGTATCCCAGGGCAAACGGCAGCTGGGTCATGGCTATACCTGGTAAAAGAATCCCACCAAAAGCCAAGGCCCCAAGACTTAGCTTAAAGTTCCAGGAAGCCAGCTATCTGGGAAGTGTAGAGAAAAGCAGCTGACCTGACTCCAGACACGTAGCGTCCAGAAGAAAAGCAGTTGACCCCTACCCTAGATATTCCATGGCTGCAAAAAGAGATAACAGACCCTGAAGTTCCAAAACCAGTTTGTCTAAGGAAAAAAGCGAACTAACCTATTATGTACTTAATAAGTGTCCCTTCCCTACCTAACCTTAGCTACAAAAACCCAGCCTAAAGCATGTAATCTGTTGCCTTGAACTCCGGTCATTGAGTGACTGGATCCCGAGCGCTCACTACCTAGTGGCCATGTCTCTGGCTCTAGCTGTTTAAGGTAGTCTAAATCACCAACTTTTATTTCTTCCCACAAACTTAATTCTTACTTATCCTTACACCTGAAGTGATCTACACCTATGCCAGGGGTGAGCTGAGAATGTGCTATGGTTTTGACCCGGGTAACCTCGGTATGCTAGTCCGGGGAGCCAAGGGTGTACACGGGGTGAGCAGCCGGTGTGCTCAGGGTAAGCCGTAGGTATGCCATGTATGTCGGCTGTGGTTGTGTCGTCGGTAGTGTACCCTGGGTGAGCCGCCGGTGGGTGTCGGGTGCATACGGGGCTCCCCCAGCGTGCACCTCAGGTATGTCATTGATACACAGAGATGAGCTTCAGAGAAGCCGCCGGATCCCCGAAGTGCCCCCACGCCCACGCCAAACCGGAAGACATGCCCCTCCCAACGCCGGCGCAGAAATCCGGACTAGTGGGCTTCAGTCACCAGGGCCCGAAATTGCGAGGTGACAATTAGAGGAGGTGCAGAGCCAGCCCAAATGGCCTCTCATCGCAACAGCACGACCACACTATTCCAGCGCCCGTACAGCCCCGCCCGCCTCACCTGGCCGAACGGCCGCCATTTTGCCGCTGGGTCCGCCACAATCCCAGCAGCCTCTTGGCCCCACCCTCCCGCCATCTTCGCTCCTCCCGCCGCGCGGAGCTACGGGCGTCCGACCGCGGCCGAGGCCCGATTCTCCCGTCCGGCAACACTCGGGAGCTTTCGGACAGAAGGAGGCGGGCACTGAGGCTCCGGAGAACTCTGCTC